GCTAGGGGGCATGGAGGAAGGCAGAATCTCCAGTGAGTACTATTCAATCTGTCTAGGCGGAGCTGATGAAATGAAATACAGATGGGTAACTTGTGATACTGTAGTGAATAATGGTTATCAGGACTGATTATGAGGGTTGGAAATGCAAAGGTAGACGTTTTGTAGCAAGGAAGGGAGTGATTAATTTGCAGTCTAGAAGTCTCTAGGACCATCCAGTCTAGAGGTCCATCAATGGAGAAGAGCCGAGAGCGGGACCCTACCCAGAGAAGCAGAGATGCCTGAGATAGAGACAGATGATGACATGGAGTGATGAAGCAGCTGGGGACTTTGGATCCAGAGAGGGAGAGGGACTATGGGCTGAAGACTGGGGGGAGAATGGGGCGGGTTTCTAGGATACACCCTTTGGTCGGTTGATGATGCATGGAGGGGATTGGAACCATGGCAATGAAATGATATATGATGGAATGAATGTAAAACTAAAGTTCTCTCATGTAAACTATCATATAATTCAAAATAAAACATTTAAAAAAGAAAAAAGGAAGAATGATGCCAAGGTTTTAGCCTGAGGAACTGTAATGGAGTTATTGACTGAGATTTTGAAGATCTTTTAGGGGTGAGGGTAGGGGTTGAGACACAGTTTGGCTGTGTTGTATTTTAGGTCCCTGTGAGTCTCCTCTGAAGAAGTCAAGGTGGCAGTTGGATCTGCAAGTCTCAGAACCTTGCCAGTCTCTGTCCTTATTTTAAGGAGTGCTGGTGGCACTGTAGGGTACACTAGACTGCTAACTGCAAGATCAGTAGTTCAAACCTACCAGCTGCTTCTCAGGAGAAAGATGAGGCTTTCTGCTCCCTTACAGATTTACAGTCTCAGAAACCCTAAATAAGATCACTATCAGTAGAAATCGACTTTGATGGAAGTGGGACCTTCTTTTACTTGCTCTTCTATAATTAGGTATTGCTTACTTCATTTAACATTATTTTGTGAGGTGTCCATTATGTACCCAAGGAGACCTGGTGGTACAGCAGTTAAGTGCTTGCCTGTTAACCAAAAGGCTGGCAGTTTGAAACCACCAGCGGCTCCTACGCACAACAGAATGAAACACTGCCCGGTCCTGGGCCAACCTCACTATCGTTTCCATGCTTGGGCCCATTGATGCTGCCACTTTGTCAATCCATCTCGCTGGGGGTCTTCCTCTTTTTCTCTGACCCTCCATTTTATCAAACATTATATCCTTCTCCAGCGACTGTTCCATTCTGACAATATATATGAAGTATGAGAGACGAAGTCTGGCCATCCTGACTGTACTTGGAAACCCTGTGGGGCAGTTCTACTCTGAGATAGGGTTGATGTGAGTTGGAATTAGCTTGATGTCAACAAGTTTGGTTTATTGTTTATTTTGTATCCCAGCGCCTGTTTTAGGTAATGGAATAAAATACGGAATAAAGTAAAACATGAGATATGTTTTCCTTATATGGGGACATATAAATATGTAAACAAATCATAATTTCAGGGAGTGATAAGTGCTCCAGAAGGACAGTAAACAATGTGTGGGTGCAGATTGAGGGGCTTTAAAGACTCTGGTGACGTAAAAGAGTGAGCCTTCAGAAGATTTGGAGGAATAATGGCACAGGTCTACAAAGAGACTAATCTCTGTAAAGACCCTGAGGCACAAAGAAGCTTGGTGTGCCAGTCCTGTTGGCGTGTCCTTCACAAGTATCAGTATGGCTGCAGGCCGGTGGTAAGAGGCCAGATTATGAAGGGCCTAATGCAGCTTGACGGAGGCCTGTCGTGGCCACACTCTGGGCTAATACGCCAGACTGCAAAGTCGGTTTGAACTGTAAGGTCAGCAGTTCACGCTCACCAGTCGCTCCTCAGAAACCCTGTACAGGGTTGTTTTGGGTTGGAACTGATTCAGTGGCACGTAACAACAACATGGAACTTGCCAAGGGGTTTGGGTTTACTTTAAGAGTGAGGGGAAGCCTCAGGAAGATTGTGAGCAGGAATGGATGTGATCTGATTTCTATTTGAAAGTGAGAACTTTGGTTGTGTGGAGGGTAGATGGTAGTAGAAACAGGGAGACTATTGCAGTCATCTAGGCACGAGATCTAGCTCCCTGTGGCATAGTGATGCATGCACTGGACTGTTAAACCCAGGCTTGGCAGTTTGAATCTATCAGCCACTCAGGGGAAAGATGAGGCTTAACTGCTCCCATAGAGATTTACCGCCTCAGAAACTGTGCATCAGAATTGTCTCAATGGCCCATGACAACAACAGACAGGATGAATGATGGTGGTAGAGGGCTGGAGAATCCCTAGGTAATGAATTGTGTGAAGGGATAAAGGGAAACACAGGAATCAATCCTAGATTTTTGGCTTGGGCAATCGATCTGCAAGACTGATTGAACTATGACCAGTTATGTTAGAAAATGAGAATTTGGATTTTTTATAACATGGTTAAATGTATTACGTGATCTATCCCTTACCTGCCTCGACCCTTATTCCCTTCCACCCTCACTCTTGCCCACTGGAGACAAGCCAGTATGGTATTGTTCACTTTCTAGACCTGTCCAAACTCTTTATCATCTTCTCCAGGCAAATGCATCCTTCAGTTCTCATCTGTCCTTTTCCAGCATAAGTATTACCTCTTCAGAGATCCATTCCACCATCCTACTGTCTTCTCTCAGAAGCCCACGGATTTTCCTTTCTCGTACTGGCCACAACTTTTAGTAAATAAACACACATATATCATATTTCTCCAGTAGCCTTAAGTTTCAAGTATGGGAAAGGCTTTTCTCGCCTCTTTTTCCCCTAAAGCCTAGCACAGTAGCTGCTCAGTACATGTGAGTATTTGTTAAATGGGTGGATGCTTGAGAGAACAGAGCCCTGCAAGGTCAGGTAACATTCAGAGACTGGTACACATTACAGGAGCCCTAGAATCGGTTCTGCAAGGTCAGCAGTTCGAAACCACGGGAAAAAGATGAGGCTTTCTGCTCCCATAAAGATTTACAGCCTCGGAAACCTTGTACAGGGTCGCTATGGGTCGGAACCGACTCCATGGCACATAACAACATTAAGAATCTGTTCCTGTATCTTCACATGAGCAGTGTACTTCAATTTCATTCCTTTTTTGGAGAAATTGGGGTGTTTCCCCAAACTGCAGTCATTAAACTCCTGAACTGTATAGCTGTGACAAGCAGCAGGGAGCTGTTCTTTCTCAATGGCACCGTATTATTAGGGCCTAGTGCGGTGGCCCTTCCAAGAACTTGCCAGAATTATAATTCATGTTTACTAACAGTAATTCTTTCATTCTCTCGCTTAAGGTCAATCTAAAGCGACCATGTCCTTTCTGGGCTGAAGATGGCCACTGTTCAATTAAAGACTGTCATGTGGAAACCTGTCCAGAGGTAAAATAAACAAATAAAAATGAGATAAATAGGGGAAAACATTCAGTTCTAATTGAAAATTACTTCCTCTTGGACTTTTAGATAAGCACGAACTCTGTATTTTTGGGTAATGTTGATAGATTTAGACTTGTCGACAAATTCATATGTTCTCCGTCCTCCTTATCTGTGTTACTGAAAATTTATTCTACTCTTGCCACTGAAATGGGTTTGAAAATACTCTTATAGCAATTGGTAATTGGATGTAGAAGAGTCGTTTGACGGAAAATGCGGGGCCTCTTCCGGGATTGGAGTGCTGGTGTGGAGCTATAGGGTAAGCACTGGAAGGCTAACCTCAAGGCGGTGCTTTCAAGCCATCAACCACTCCGGGGAGACTCTGCAGTACCGCTGTGACTCAACAGCACTTAACCCCCACCAGCAGCGGTGCCAGGATTGTATGGATGCTTAGCAGTGCATTCCATTGTCATGTCTCTTTGGTGTCTTTTAATAACAGAACAGTTTTGCACTACTTTTTGTCTTTTGTTGTCTTGAGTCCTTCTATTTTAATGAATGTTGTGTCATCCAATTGGTTCCAACTCATAGTAACCCTGTATCAGACTCCAAGGCCGTGAATCTTTGTGGAAGCAGAAAGCCTTATCTTTCTCCCACAGAGCAGCTGGTGGGCTTGAACCATTGACCTGTGCTTTGCAGTTCAGTTCTTATCCTACAGAATCACCATGATCCAGCCCCACCTCACCCCCTTTTTTTTTAACTGAACACAGACCAGTTATCCTTTCTGTGGAGTCCTGGTGTGGTACTGTAGGATCAACATTAGACCGCAAGGTTCATTACAAAAAAAGGTGCAGACTCACCATCCACTCTGCAGAAACCCGATTCAGGATCACTATGAGTCAGAACCAACTCAACGGTGCTCAGCAACCACGCTGTCCTTCCTTTAGGGCTCTTCTCGTGTTTTCTAAGTGTTGGATTTAGGATGCTGGGTTATCAGAGTTTGGGTACACTTGCCATGGAAGTGACGGAAGAGCTCTCAGTGTGTCATGTCTCAGGAGGCACTCGATGGTTATGGTGTGGTCAGCCAAGCTTCTTTCCTGTAAAGTGGGAACATTTTCAAGACTATGAAAATGTCCTGGTTCTCATTCTACTATTGCCTACTAGTTTAAACATCCACTGACTGTTCTTACCCAAGTCAGTGATTTATCTGATAGTTTCTAAATATAGGTCATCCCCAGTTGACAGTAGGGTTCCAGTCCAGTGACTCGATCTTATGTCAGTTCTGACATAAGTGAATACCTCTCTCTAAGTTTTTATTATTGTTGCTTTTATTCCTAGTGTTTTTATAATTGTCTATTTGTCAGTGTCTGAATACTAACAGTGAAGTGCCAGTTGTCATAGCTGTTGGGCGCAGGCACAGTTTCTAACTGTCAGATGTCATTAGAATTGATCATTGCCCCCCTTTCCATCACCTACCGCTCCCCGCCCCAACACCAGCACAGACTGGATTGTAGGCCACAGTCTGCCTCCTGGCATGGTTCTGATCAGAGTAAATATTATCATTGAACATGGATTCTACTTTCTTATCTTAAATTTCTAATAAGAATTAATGAAAGTACTTAATTGTTGAACTTTTAAAATGGTATACCAAAGAAGTCTAAAGGTTGATATGAAGCCCCCAAATAACTTTATACCCAATTTAAGAAATAATTCACATACATTTAGAGATTTGTACTTACTCCTTTCTCAATCCCATCCTCTTCTCTTTCTCTCCAGACATGAAAACTATCCATTCATGTTGATTCTTTAAGTAATATGAGCACTTTTTGTACTTTTCTCTCTTAGGGAAGAATCATTGTGCATTTTATATTGTTACTGCATTTAATGATGCAGAGTTCGAATTTGCATTCTGTGATTTGAAGTCTGATTTAATCATCAGGACCACTTAGTTAGACTTCTTTATATTACTTTTGGTAGAGGAAACTACCAAATATATGCCATACTTCATTTTAGATAGTAGTTTTACATTTTTCCTTAGTTTCTGGGGATATAAGGATTCTAAAGAAGTCAATTTCAAGAATAAGTTCATCTCTTCTGCTTTATTCTATGGTTTTGTAATTTAAGGATCTTTTTTTTTTTTTTACTGTTTTACTGTGAATTATGTGATAGTTTACATGGGAGAACATTAGTTTTACATTCATTGCCATGGTTGCAGTCCCCTCCATACATCATCATCCAACCAAAGGGTATACACTACAAGCCTGCCCCCCCGGTCATCAGCACACAGCCCCTCTCCCTCTCTGTGTCTAAAGTCTTAAGGGTCTTTCTTGATAACACATAGGTTGTTTTTATTAGTGTTGTTTTTGTTGTCAGGTGCCATGGAGTCGGAACTGACTCATAGCGACCCCATGCACAG